TTCATTAAGGAAGTGTCAGGAGCCGGTAAGGCGTGAAACGACCAAGGGTCCTTCTCTTAAATTTTCGGGTATCAGATCCTGCAGCACGAGAAAAATGGCTACACAGTCTCATTCACAAGGCATCAATCAACAAAAGTGTGTCAGGCTTTTCCGATATTCTGATTGGTTGTCTTGATATTAGCGTCTAAAGTTAGAGTAGCGAAAAAATGCGTAGTGTGATGCGTAAATGGACACCTGGTAAAAAATATTTCAAATATCAAAATTTCCTGACACACTTTTGTTCGTGATTATCTCAGGAATGTGTTGCCGAAATCTCACGAAAATCGGTCAAATCTACATACCCTGTAAATTCCCTCAAAGTGAATGTATTCCTCTCAAAGTCAATTGCGAGATTTTAGCTTCTAAAGATTTGTAAACAACTAGCACTACACCAGGAGATTATCTCGCCTCCTGAAACCGTAAACCAATGAGAAGACGACACCTCCTTGCGTCAATGACAATAGATCAAGATTTTCCCGGGAAAAGGATCGCGTAGCAGTCACGTTTTTAGTAATGGACAAAGTCGGCGAAGGAAAATTCCGCGGCAGAAAGGGTAAATCTGTCGCATTCTTCTTTTTCTCCATCGGTTTCGTCAGATCTGATGAAGAATCTTGTTTTACAACCTTCTGTGGTGTTGACTTTGATTTTTAAGCTGATATGATCTTCAGCGAATGCCGAGCTTGTCGAAGGCTCCTAGCCAAACCAAGAGCCTTTGTCGCTTTAAACAAGGACTGTTTTTTTTTTCGGACAAAATGCTGCCATCTCTCTCTTCTTTGGGCCTGTTTTTTTCTTTTTCTTTACCCCAGTTTGAGTTTGAGTTTGAGTTTGAGTTATGTTTTTTATCCATGAGAAAAGGCTTTCCACGAGCAGATAACTTCCATGTGTGAATTTTGTCATGTGCACGATGTAAAAAAAATATGCAAATGATATGAAATTGCCGCGAATATTCCCCTGGGGGTGTTCGCCCATTTTTGAGGTTCTGACACCTTCATGATTTATTAACTTTTATTTGAAAATACGTTTTTCTAAATAAGTCGGACGCCTTTTGAGATTTAAATTTTTTTTTTGTAAACGTTAGTTAAAATGTCTTAACTTCAATCTAGTCCAAAAAACGAAAAAAAGATTTTTTGTGCCTCTGAAGGTAGGAAGTAACCTTAAGATAAAGCAGTATGAACAAAAGGTAATGATTAAAATAGGTTTACAATTAGCTTTAGAAGTACGTTAGAATTAATTTACAATTAACTCAAATCTGTTTGGAAAATAAAAACTGTTTAAATAAACTTCTTTTAGTCGTGAATCACTTAATGCTATACCAGATGGTTACAAGCCCTCAATGCTCCCTTCCTCTTATTGGCTTGCATTGAAGTAAAATCATAATAAACATTTAAGGGAAATAGTTATTGGATTCTGAAATACATGTTTTTATTTACTTGGAAAGAAACAGTTTATCGGAAAAGGGTCAAATTGAGAGAGGTATTTTATCTTTCTTTGTTTTGGTATCGTGCGGATCACTGAAACATGCTTCCTCCTTGTATAATTCAGCATATCAAACTTACGGGATACAAATAGTCTCTTACTGAATTTCGTGACCACGTCCACTTCATCGGCCCANAAATTGAGTACGATTTTTGGATGTTATATCATCTTGCCGACTCTCTGTATAAAAAGTTAACAATGTACCACCGAAATATTGAACTATAATATCATGGCTTTCCATTTTGTGTATTTTCGTACTACAAAGTAAAGTTTTTCCCTCGTCATTTTCACCTTTTCCCGAGCGGGTCCGTCAAAATTAAGAAGGCGTTCGTGGTCAAAACAAGTCCGAGCAAGGAGTCTTGGGCGATTTCTCTCTTACGCAAACGCAAATTGAAAATCAAAGAGAGGAACAAATTTCCTATATTTTGATATGTAAATTGTCGAACAAGGAGCAGATTGAACCTCGCCAAATGGCTAGTCAAAACAGCCACACCTTCCTCCTTTTGCTCGTTTCCTGTTTTATAAGCGTGAAAGCAGTGGGAGAAGAATTGGGTTGCTCGGAAAGCGCTTCGGGTATTAATTTACCATCGTTTACTTACGAGAAAAAAAGTAAGATTTGTAAAGTTATTTTCCGAAAGAGTCGGAATAAATACATTTTTTTCAGGTTAGATTGCTGTTTTTACCCTAAATGTCGTCCAATGAATTTTTGTTGCAGCCTACTAATCTATACAATTTCGAAGGAAGGTAAAGATGACAAAGAAAACCATGAGTCGGTCCTCTCTGCTGTTATAAGCAAGGTATTTGAACGATCAGGTATACGAGGTATAATGCTCAATAACCGAATTTTAGAGGTCTTCAGAAAGAAAATATTCTGTCTCCAAAAAGCAGTCAAGAGAGCTAGCAAATGTGGCGGAAGGCAATTGAATGCACTTCTTAACAAGCTGGAAACGGGTCCTCGGTATCAATTTAAGATGTATTATAACGATGTTGATGTGCATCAGCTTAAAAATGAGAACAATCGGTTAAGGGGAGAGAAAAGAGCTTTAGAAGAATGGCTAGTACAGGAGAAAGCTAAACGATTGCGCATTGATCAAAAAGCGCGGGAAACTCTCGAGACAGCTGAGAAGAAAGGGGCCTTTTACAGGAAAAAAATAAGCAAATAGTGAAAAAGGTGATCAAAAATGGTAAAAAAGGTAGAGGCCCTGCTAAAAAAAGGTTTGATGAGTATTCCAAGCACCATCAGAAGAGAGTAAAAAACCAGCTGAAGGAGGAGTGCCAAACTACACTGTCCTTTCTTGGACTATACAGTTTTGTTGCCACCAAAGTTGAAGTCTTTAACACTGATACTCATCAGTATGAAACTTTCAATCTGGTTGGAGAGGGAGAACTGGAATTCACAGAGACTGATCCTAAGGAACTAACTAATGATGACCTTGACAATATCAATATGTGGCTCTATCTGAAAGATAAGTTCAATATTTCAAAAGAGGCCTGGCATGAAATTGCCACGAAAGTCCCAAATTCATATTCCATAAAGAAGCGAATCAATGAACTAAACAGCAAATGGGCCTTGAGACCGACTCCAGGGGATGCTGAGGGTGTTCAGTTAGGACCCAGTCCCCTCTATTAACTATGGTTAGGATTTGCTGAGGGTGTTCAGTTAGGACCCAGTCCCCTCTATTAACTATGGTTAGGATTTGCTGAGGGTGTTCAGTTAGGATTTGCAGAAACCTTACAAGAGCATATTGTAAGGCTTCAGTAAAATTGAGAAATCAAAGCTGGACAAACATCAAAATCAAGCTTAGTGGTGATGGAAAGAATATTGGAAAGAGGCTTACAGTTGTGAACTTCACCTTTACCATTCTGAATGAAAAGGAGGTGGCAATGGACGAGAAAGGGAATTATGTCCTTGCAGTTATAAAAACTACAGAGACATATGATAATCTAAGAGATAGCCTAGCAGACCTTCGAATGGAAATGTCAAACTTACATGAAATAAGTATAAATAACAGCACCTATAAACCTGAGTTCTTTTTAGGTGGGGACTGGAAATTTTTAGCACTGGTCTGTGGTCTGGGCAGGGCAAATGAGGATTATGCTTGTGTGTGGTGCAAGTTTCCCAGGCAGCAACGGTGGGACACAAGTAAAAAGTGGTCAATTAATGACCCCACATTTGGTGCTAGAACCATTGAGGAAATAGCAAAGTTCTCCACTGCAAAAAAATTCAACTGTAAAGGAAAACCTTTATTTGATTTTATACCCATGGATCATGTCATCATAGACACATTGCACCTCTTTCTCAGGATTTCAGATGTTTTAATTGACTTGCTCATAAGAGAATTGAGAAGAAGTGATGCTATTGAAAAAAAAACCACCTTCTCTGATGGATTCCCAAGGGAAAAGTATAAACACATGGCAGGTTACGAAGAATTAATCAAAAGTATTGGGATCTCTTTTAACTTTAGAATCAACAAGGACAGTAAAAAGCTGGAATATAGAGATCTTACGGGACCAGAAAAACTGAAACTCTTTCAGCACATAAATATTCCTATGCTTCTTCCTCAATGCAGCAAAAACAAAGATGTACAAGTGATCTGGAAAAAATTTATGGACATAATTGGTGATTTAAAACTAGATTTTACATCTGAGGATAGTATTCTTGAATTGCAAGGAGATATCAAAGCATGGTTTGAACTCTTTCTCAACGTGTACCAAGCAAAAGATGTCACTCCCTACATGCACGCACTTCATTGCCATGTCCCTGAGTTCCTGTCACTTTATCACAACATTGCATATTACACACAACAAGGCTTGGAAAAATACAACGATAGAGCTTCCAAAGATTTTTTCAGATCTACAAATCACAAAGGAGTTGATGCCCTCCAGCAACTGTTTCTGAAGAAAAACAGGATTCAGTTCCTAGAAGCAGCAGGATATGAAAGAGTTAAGAACACTTATGAATGCAGTAACTGTTTTAACGAAGGCCACAACATCAAGACCTGCACATCACCATGCAAACATTGTGCAGCTCCTGTGTACTGTGCACATCTTGTAAAGGAAAGTGGCAAATGGAAGCCGAGATGTCAACCTTAAATTAACTAGAATTAAATTAATGCCAGTATGTTACAAAACAAAACATTTAGTGCTTGAGGATTTACTGACTCTAGTCTTCCCTCAGTTTGGTAATGTTAGTCACGATAAGATCACCTTTCATTTCTCATAAACTCATTACAAATTGTCATTTCCATATTTTTGGTTGATTGTTANACTTCCTGGCTTGCTCGTTAAGACCGAGAAAGTCATTAACGTTTTTCTTGAACGCTGAAAGTGTCCGATGCTCTTCTTGGACTTTGAGTCTTGCCTTGTATCTTTCGCTTGGCCTTTCCTCGCCCGTTCGATAAAAACTATCAACAGCTTTCAATACCGACATCGTTCAACTCACATGCACACTGGGTGAAGAAATTGGAGATCAAAACAAAAAGCTTTCAACTTGTCCTACAAAACGCAGGCCAAGTGAGGTCAAGGGAGACTATCGAGGGGTCCTTGATACGAGCTTGGCCTATAAACGTATGAACTACATGTACGACATGTACAGAGTCAAAGTCTGCAAAATAAGAAATGAAACGGGTCATAAGTAAGTTTAGCACCTTCCTTAAAATTAAGAAATTTGGTGAACAATTTTTTTTACGGTTACCTCTTTTGACCCCATTTGCAGCTAACGGTTAAAATTTTTCAATTTTTACGGCTATCGACTAATTTTTGGCCATTTTATGCCTATCGGTTAACCCCATTAAGACCCTCATATAATCGCAAGACAACACCCACCCATCCTACCCCAGGGGAGGACATCCATCACACAGTAATCTCGTGCGTGGGAAATTTACGTCTCCTATCCCTAACCCTGCAGGAGACGGGACCTCCATTTATTCGTCCCTATCCGAGAAGACTAGAATATCTAAACCATTTCTTGATGTTATAGAAAGGCAGCATATTTTTCTCAATTATTTAAAGACCTTGAGTATTGGTCCTGCCGGGGCTCGAACCCTCGACCTCCCGCATATCAGTCCAGTGCTCTATCAATTGAGCTAACCGGGAGGCATATAACATCATACAATTTTGTATCTTTTGTCTGTGAAATGGCCTTTTTAACAGGGGTGTATGCTGAGTATTCGTTGCAGAATCGCTTTGGTTCTCTTATCTCTCTCTTTGGCTTGTCCGCCATTTTGAAAATTTGCTCAGGAGGGCATCTGGGTTAGCGGCCGCGCCAGGCTGGAACCGACAAAAACAAATGTCCATCGCAGTGGGGAAACAGTTTGATATGTGTTAAGTTGTTTATGTGCTGCGTGTAATTAATCTTCGCTGATGATCATCATCCAATTTATTTCCATTCTGAGTTGTTCTTCTTCCATTGTTGTGCTTCCTCTTTTCATTTATCGATGACTCTTTTAAAACTTATTCCGATAACGCGAGAGGCGTTCTTCCGTGTCCAACCAATTCATCTTCTAATGCTGGTCTAGGAATGGCACCAGGATTGGCTTTGAAAATGAGGCCGCAGGCAATTCGAAACGCTCCTCAATAACCCTTTGTAGCTATGTGGATACATGCAATTCCTTGTCGATATATAACAGTTTCTTCGGATGCTCTTTTTCGTTGTTTTTTCCCCTTTTTCGACTCGGAAGAACTTGCGTTAAAGGATTCACATCTACCGTGCTATTCAAGCGCTGCAGTTTAATATCAAATTGAGATCAGATCATGTTTAAAAACCGCTCCTTGCCTTCATTGAGAAGGGTTGTAAACGAAACGCTTTGTAAAATTTGTAAACGACAAGCATGACATATTGCCTGCAGTAACGGTAGCAAGACTAAAATTGCGCCGAGAGCGAATTTGGAAACGTAAAAAGCGGCAGGCTTGGATTATCCGTATAACTTCAAATTATTTAGCATTATATTTTGAACACTTTCTCTTAATGCACCTGCGCTTTGACCTCCGATCTCATTTTGCCAAATATCCAAGTACACAGTATTTTCTGTAGCTTGACAAGTTTTCCCCATTTTGGAACTTGAAAATGTTTTTAAATTTTAATGATAATAACAGCGTTTTGTAAGAGAAGGACTGAACGGTATCTCTTACACGAGTTGAGTACCAGAGACCACAAGGTTTTTGAAGTGCGTTTTAGAGTCGTCGAATTAGAGAGCGGCCCTTGGCGTGTAGTTTTTAGGCTTCCAAGCTGGGATTCGGGGATTAAAGTGTTAATAATATTCCAGTGTTGGCTGAAGGATATTATCGTACATCGGTGGCAGCGGACAAAGATTTTGAGCCGACAAAATAAACAAAGACAAAGTGAAAATACCCGAAGGCGCCAAAGGCGGTTAACTGCTAGATTTTCTGCCGGAACACAAGCCGGAAATTTTTATGAAGAGTGAACCGAACGAAGGGAACATTGACTTGCAACAGCTAGCACAGGCACCCAAGGAACTTGTTCTAGGCATGAACGGGAAAATTCAGGAGCTGGAAAGAAAAAACGAGACAAGGACAACAACAACCCCAAGGCGCGGAGATGTCGCGGTGTGCTATTCTTGCCACAGACAAAGTCACTTTGTGCAAAGTATCGAGAAACGTAAGACGGGCTTTGCAGAGGGCCAACCAATCCCCATAGGATAAGGTTAGGTAGCCTCTGTAGAACTGATTTTATTATAAAGAATTTCGGTGCATCTCGAAATGAAAGTGCGCTGTCCGTCTTATCAGAGACTGAAATTTACATTCGGGACTTGTTAATCGTCGTTTGATGTGTGTAATTTTGGACATTGGTGCTACTGTCAGCGTTTTGAGTGGAAAAAAAGGAACCGTTTTAATACCTAGGCCAACTGCTGAGAGACTCACTACAGGCAATGGCAATGAGCTGACTGTTCTGGAAAACTGAAGCGCGAATTCGTGTGAGAACGTTTGAATACTCCTGGTTTGTTTTGATAGTGTGAGGTTTGGCCAATGACTTTGTACTTGGTTCAGATTTCTTTCAACACTATGAGTGTCAAATTCACTGTGACACAGGAACCCTTGTGGTAGAAGATTCGAAAATCCCAACAGATACTGCAAGGCTGCACTAACTGTTTTGTTGAATCTTTTCATATGCTGATGCAGAGCTAGAACCTGGTACTAAACAAGTGATAAGAGCTAGATTAGAAGGAGGTTATGAACAGAATTCTGGAAACCCTGGGATCCTGGATGGGTCAAGAGAACCATAATAAATAAAAGTCTATATTCCATCATAAGATAAAACTACATATCTTATGTTACAATGAATTGGAAAAACTACAGAAATCTACCTACATATTATGAATTAAAAAGTATGTCATTACAATAAATGGAGCTTAAAGATCAACCTATTTACAAAGGTGTTCATAAAGCGCTGTGTATTAATTTTCGGGCGCGCGCAGCCTTTTTTTCTAAGATTGTGTATATATGTCTTTTGGACAGGAATGATGTCTTTCAGGGGGTGGCAATCCGTTGATTTTAGTTTCTTCAAAATGTTTCGGTCTTGTTTGTTTAAAAGGTTCTTGATAAAAACTGGAAATGAGATAAAACCGCGTTTATGACATCGGTCTAAAAAATTTTGTACAACCGTAAGATCGGACTCAGATGCCCCATAGACTGAAAGTGCATAGCTAAAATTAGCCAAAACAATGGATATAAAAAGATGATCAATCTCTGCCTGAGAGTAATGTTCCTTTCTCAATGTTCGTAGGACGTGTAAACACTTGTTTGCTTTGACAAGCTTAGTTCTTACATGCTCATCAAATTTTCCGTCACTCTGTAAAGTTACTCCTAGTAAAACGAAGCTATTACATTGGGGAATATTATTAATTGGAGAGTAGAGTACATTATGATTTTTCTTTCTAACAACCAGCTCTTTACATTTGCAAGGGTTGCAGACCATTCTATTGTCTTTACACCATGTTAAGAACTGTCCTACTAAGTCGGCAGACGGGTCACTATTCCTAGTGATAGGCGAAAGAATAGTGGAATCATCGGCATATTTAAAAAGCACAGGGCAACCATTAAAAAAAATCTCCAAATCGTTCAAAAATATATTAAAAAGATACGGTCCGCTTACACTACCTTGTGTGGTTCCTCTATTGACAGATTTCCACTGTCCTAAAAAATTATAACTAACAACACGTTGTTGTCTTGCATAGAGGAAACTATGATACCAATTGATAATGTACGGATTTAGAGGTAGCTGTTTCAGTTTGGCAGACAAAATAGCATGGTTCACAAAATCGAAAGCCTTACTGAAGTCCATGGTAAAAATTCGCACTGCGCTACAGTCACTACTATCTAAATACTTGTATGTCTGGTGCTGGATAGCGAGCAAGGCATTTGTGCAACTACCCGCCTGTCTATATGCAAATTGGGTGTGGCTCAGGTTGTTCTCAATGACTGACTGTGCTTGTGTACGATACACGACCTTCTCGAACAACCGGGCAATAACGGGAGTAACATTAATACTTT